CTTTCATCTTTTTCTGGTACTTGAAATTAACTATGTTAGGTAGCTGAGAAAACATAGGAAAAGTATCAAAAGATCTCTTTTCTCAGCACGATAAAACGAAAAGTCGTTGAAACCCAGATCATACTCTGTTTGGCAAGGCAGAAAATTAAAAGCTTCCTCCTTTTTCCATTTTCCAGATATTAGAAAATTCCAATCTCCCCCACCCACCCCCTTCCATTTTCTCAGGAACCAAAAAGTACCATGCTTGATTTTCTTTCTCTCGTTCGACCTGAGATCCGAATATTCCAATCAAAACGCCGTTTTACTCTGACTTTGAATTTGACTGCAACGTTACATTTTAAAGCGTTCCCATGATTTTCCGGTTTCACTCAGCCATTTTCCTCCTCGGAAAAGTCTTTTTTTTTTTTCCGTTTGGAATATGGTTGGTGTCTTCCCGAGGTTTAAGTGGGGTTTGATACAATCGAGGTGAAAGAGGGAGGAAAAAAGGGTTTCAGTTCTGGTGCAACCGTGTTACAGTTACTTTTGGGTTTCACCGAATATGATTCTTCCATTTCGACAATTTAATCACACCGAGGTGCGTGCAATGATTTTAATATACTTAGAGAGAGAGAGGCATTTAATTACAACCGTCGGATCTTAAATTAACGTCACGGGGACGGTTGTTGATTCCACGTGGGGGTTGTTGGGCTTTGACCATATGTGCATTTAACCCCAGAGAAAAAACTCCTTTTGAGCTAACTCGAACTGAGTTGACCCGTCTTCCCTTGATCTGGGTTTTCGAGAGAAAATAATGATGGAATAAGAATAATTTTTTATCTTATTTTTTAATATAATTTTTATATATTATTAAATAATAAATTTTATATACTCACGAGCAGATAGATAAGTTAGTTAAGAATCTCTCTAGTTTAATTACAAGTTTTAATTTCAAATCTTAAAAATGTAATCTCATTAAAACTCGTGAAAGAAAGTTATGTCGCTTGTTAAGTCTACTTGATTTGAATTTGAATTAATTGATAATTCAGTAAACTTTTAAATATCGAATGGTTTATATAAAAAAACAATAAATTTTATATAAATAAAAAATATTTAAATAATATATTATATTATATAAAAAAATAATATAAAAAATTATTCTAAAATCATTAAAGGTTGTATTGTAACTGTTGTTTGGGTGGGAGCAATCCGATGAAGTTGGAGTCTGCTTAAATCGTAGTGTTTGGAAAACAAGTTATGGTATTCTGGACGGGAATAACGTACGGTTGCTGTACTTTTGTATATTTGTCTTTTCTTAAGGGTTCTTATCCGGAACATTTACTGGCACCGCGACAGCTCGATCTCTATAATTTGCCCCCACCACCTCTTTTTTCTTTTTTTGAAAAAAGAGAACGTTCTAAAAAAAACGTTTTTAAAAAAGAAGTTGGTATTGTTTAGTAATATATTGTGAAAAAAAAAAAAAGCAGTTTGAATGGTGAAATTTATTAGCCATGGTTAATGAAAATTTTGAATGTTAGTTTTATTGAGAATATTTTAGTAATTTTAACATTTAAATTGTTTTTTTTTAACCATTTTCCTTTTAGAAAGGGGGCTGACCTTTAAAATAGTAATGTTTTTAAAATAAAAATGATTTTACTATTTTATTTAGAGAAAAAGTACTTGAATTAATGAAATTAAATGAAAATGTTAGTCAATGTGGGGACAGCTTGTTTAGTGTTGCATCATGATAACACCTAGGAAGAGATGTGGATAGGATTTGGGAAATTAATGTATTATCGCCTGTTATATAAAAAAATAAAAAACGTGTGTATTTTGTTTTATGAGTTTATTAAAATATTTTTAAAATTTTATTTTTTAAATATTTTGTATTAAAAATATTTTAATAAATTTATAAAATAAATTGGATTTTTAATATCCAGTTCAAATGTAGTTTGAATCATAAAATATGAATCCCATAAAAAAAAAATACAAAACAACTTGACAAAGTATGTAAATAGGCATTGACAGTGTATACTTTTTATAGATGCAAAATCATTACCAAATTTGGTGGCCCAAATCTATATTTGGTGGCAATAACCATGTCCATGCCCCATATTTGGATTAATCCTTTTGTCCTTAAGTTGAATTTGTTTCTTTAATAATTAGTAGTCAAGACGGTTTTCTTCATCTCCAATTAAATTTTTCTAGTAATGCAGGGTCTCAGGTGGTGCACCTTATTGGTGAAAATATTGAGCTATGCTCTAACCATGATGAGTGCAATGGACGTCCTTCCCAATTCAAGCTGACAAAAGGTTTCTCAGCCAAGGAGCACGTTAAAGGGCATATGGCGAGTTCTTACTTTAACAGTTTAAAACACATTATTTCTGTAGAGAATATGGAATACAGAATTTGATATGATACAGTAGATGCCGCTTCCTTTTTGTTCTTTTGGGGTGGAGGGGAAGGTGATGGAATTCAAGAAGCTTTTGCTGATTGACCGGTTGTCTCGATTGGCAGGTAAATGTTATGAAAGGATTGAAGTTGTATGAAAACATTTTCACTGATTCAGAGTTGGCCAAGTTGAGTGACTTTGTGAATGAACTCCATGCTGCTGGCCAGAATGGTGAATTATCAGGTTTTTTCCCATTCTAAAACCTTGCAAAATTCTTCTTTTGGTTTTAGTTATCTTTTCCTTTAGTCTGTTTTAGAATATTAGTTTTAGAAAGCTGACAAGTAGTTTTAAAGCAGTAGATTTAGGCAGAGCATATATGATATACCTCAAACCTTTTAGGTTGCTTTATTATGCATTTGAATGTAGCTTTCATTTAATCCTGAAACATAGAAGAGAACTTTTAGAAACAGAAATTTGGTTTAAAGTAAACTAATTATATTTTTGCCTTGTTAATTGGACTTCTTCAGGGTCTCTTTTCTGTTCATGTTCAGTGTATTAAAGATTATGAACATAACGGTGAACAATTTCTGTTCAGTGGCTCTGCAATTTTTCTCATACGTTTTCAAGAGCCAAGAAAGAATAGGCTTATGTGCAAAAGATAATGACTAAGATACATTACTTTATTCTCTGTCCCACAACTTCCTACTGATTTTTATGGATGAATATAGGTGACACCTTCATTTTATTCAACAAACAAATGAAAGGAAACAAGCGTGAGCTGATTCAGTTTGGTATTCCAATTTTTGGTCACGTCAAGGAGGAACAAGCAGGCAACAACCAGACAAGTAAGACATTACACCTGCATTTCGGTCAATGTTGTTTGGTTTTAAATACATAATTCTAGTGCAGTAGTCAACTTTATAACCAGCTTTCCATGTTTACAGCTAACACAGAGCCAATTCCAGCTCTTCTCCAGCGTGTTATTGATCACTTGGTCCAGTGGCAACTAATACCAGAATATAAGAAACCAAACGGTTGCATCATTAACTTCTTTGATGAGGTATACTTCATTTTACTTTAACAATATTTTCCCTTCCAATCGCAACAAGGCTTGTGAAATACAGTATATCATGTCATCTGTCCATGTGATCAGTCTTGGATTTTGAATGCTGAACTTAATTTGATTTAGGAAGTTGTTAAAGTATATTTCTTTGATGCAGGATGAATACTCACAGCCTTTTCTTAAGCCACCACATTTGGATCAGCCTATCTCCACTCTTCTCCTCTCCAACTCAACAATGGCTTTTGGACGCAGTCTGATGAGTGATAATGAAGGAAACTATAGAGGTCCACTCACACTTTCACTAAAAGAAGGGTAAATACGAATCTTTCTTTTCTTTTCTTTTGTTCACACTTTTTGTGACTGTTTGAAAACTTTCAAAAAGGTAAAATTACACAGGAAGGGCGTCTCACTAGACCACCATTGCTGAAATGTTTTGATTGTGAGAACTGAGAAGTTGCTAAGAGAGAAATACCATTTTAACTACCTTCCAGGATTTAGACCAAGAGACTGAAAGTTGGAAATGCTCACTGTGCATGTGCATGTAGAATTTCAAATAATATCCCTCTGTTCATCATTCTAGCTCTTACCAATATAAATGTTTTCCAGATCTTTTGTTAACATACTACTATATATATGTCTTGCAGGTCTCTTTTAGTAATGAGGGGAAACAGTGCTGACATGGCAAGGCATGTCATGTGCCCATCCCCTAGCAAGAGGGTCAGCATCACATTCTTCAAGGTTCGCCCTGATTCCAACCAAGGTTACTCACCACCGTCTAGTCCTCAGGCTGGTGCAATGACACTATGGCAGCCAGGTGTTCCAGGACCATATGCAATGCCTAATGGACCACTCAGTGGCTATGAGTCAGTAGATATGATGCAGAAATGGGGAGTCTTCCGTGCCCCTATTGTCATGTTAGCCCCTGTGCGTCCAATGGTATTGAGTCCCAAAATACTTCCTCAAGGTGGTACTGGGGTTTTCTTGCCATGGACTGCAGGGTCAAAAAAACCAGCAAAGCATCTTCCCCCCAGAGCCCAGAAGGGAAGACTGCTTGCATTACCACCAACAGTTGAAGCAGATGTATCAGAATCTGCTCCTGAACCAAGCATCACCATTGAAGGAAAAGCAGCATGAAGTTAGTCCAATGCAGACCTGGGACCACAGAGAAATGTCAGCAAAGGCAATCACCCATGCTCACTTTCTTCTCTATAGAGCTTCTGCCATTGTGCAAACAAGTCCCAGGTGCTGTAAAGAAGTTTGTTTTTTCATTTCCCTTCCTTA